AGAGGCCACCATGACACTAGGCTTGGGATTTGACTGTGAGCCTCCTCTCAGGGTTTGGGGAAGTTTCCAGATCGGTAGCAGAGAAAACCTTTTGGTTTTTGCTGTCGAGTCACTCAGAGGGTTTTCTGATGCTGTAGGGGAATAGGGGAAACTGACCTAACTAGTAGCTTGCTTTTCCTGCAGAGGGTGCCAAGGAAATGAGTCATCAGACTAAGCAGAGCAGAATAAAAAGGACACTTCCTGTGTTCTGTTTTCTGCCTGTGATATTTTGCAATTCAAGAACTTGATTTTTACCTGAAGGCATCTTTTCCAAAGACCCTTTGGCTCACAGCACCTAACCCCAGAGTGAGCTGTTTCAAGGCTCTACAACTGCATAATCGGGGCTTAGTTCTGCAGTTTTGTTGCCTGAGTAATTTTTAAAATCTCAGTTCACATGCATATTATACATGCATGTAGTATATACTATGTATATATGTATACATATATATACTTTAAAAAATGCACTTCTCTTAATCATGGCTGTTGAGTTCTTACACAGAATTTCAGTTGATTCACTCTTATGGTCACAATAGGTTATTTTTATAGATCTCCCCATTGAAAAATTATCTAAAAAATTACCTTTTGCTGCTTAACAATTACCACAATTTTAGCAACTTAAAACTACACCCATCTATTAGTTCACAGTTCTATAGGTCACACATCTGGTACAGCATGGCATGGCTGGGTTTTCTGCTTAAAGTATCTCATGGCTAAAATCAAGGTGTTGGCTAGGCTGAATTCCTGTCCAGAGGCTCTGGGGTAAAATCCGTTTCTAGCGTCATTCAGGCTGTTGGCCAAATCCAGGTCACTGCAGTTACAGGCCAGATTTTATTGCTGCCTATCAGCCAGCAGGTGCAGGCTGCCCTCAGGTCGTTTCCACAGGGTCCTCTCCATCTTCAAGCCAGTAAAGGCATATTGAGTCCTTTTTGTGTTTCAGATCTCTCTAGTAGACTCTTCTGGAACCAGCCATAGAAACCACTCTGCTTCTAAAGGGTTCATGTGGTAGGTTAGGCCACTCAGATAATCTCCCTATCTCTGAGTCAACTGACTAGTAACCTTAACTGCATCCACAAGATCCTTTTTGCCGTGTAACTTAATCGTGGGGTCTAGCTTAGAATTCTGCCTACCACACTGCCCTTATAGAGACATTTGCTGTTATATAGATTCTGTCTTAGGCTGAATAACATGAGAAAGCATTTGGAACATTAAATGTGAGTCACCATGTTGAATTATATTTAGGTTAAATTACTTATATTGTGAATGTGATGCAAAGGATTTGTGGTACTGAAAAATACTATTTTTTAAATAAGTCTGTAAATGTATCAGGTACAAGTACATTTAACAGACATATTTTAAAGAGCTATTATAAATGCTTAGGATATTGCCTAGAATTCCTCACTTCCCTCAGATGACCATGAGTAGCATAATCTCAAGGGATGGTGTTAAGCATGCTCTTCATACACTAACCACACAAACTCATAGACTTTAGAGCTGAGAGATCAGAGGTCATCTGTTTCCCTCCTCTCTTCTCTGCCTTTTTCAAAGATGAGGAGCCAGAGACTCAGAGAAGGCCACAGAGCCAGCTAGTTAGTGGTAGAGATGGACCTAGAATACATGTTTTCTGATTCCCTATCTGTTAGTAATAGTAACAACACCACCATTAACTGAGATTTTTCTGTGTATCAGCACTACCACAGGTACTTGAAACGTATTATTTTCCTTAATCCTTACAAAAATCCTGTAAGGGAGGCATTACTATTTTCACTGCCATTTCACAGTTTGAGAAAACTGTCCCAGAGAGGGTAAGTAACTTGCTCATCGTCACCCAGCTTGCACATGGTTGAGTGGGGATTCAAAGAGAAATAGAGCGACGCCAGGTCCTGACCTGTGCTCTCTGCTCTGCTCTTCCCACCCCACTGGCTGCTGCTAACAGGGTCTTCCATAGGTCATCACAGAGCTGGCTTGGCATGGTCTCCATAGACAACTGTACAAGCTACGCATTGGTTATATTCCGACAATGATTCAGTGAAGTGAACAAGAATTTGGAGTCAGGGAACTGTGTTTAAACTCTGGTTTTGTGACTTTCGAAGTGGCTTCAAGGAATTGTGTGACCCCCTGGGGCCCTTGGATGCTCCATTTATAAAATGCAGATTGTTAGACTTGCTCTGAAGAGGATGCATATAAAAAGCAGTCCATAAACAAAAGGATTACATTTTCATTGTACTGTTGTTCTTTGATAAATGGTGTCTCCATCTTGTTACCCTGTAATAGCTTTTCCAAGTCACTTTTGCTGTGATAGTAAGACATTTAATAAAAAGCAGTCGATCTTTGACATTGCAGAGGCTATGTATATCCTGAGATCTTTAGGAATCTCATTTCCATTGAAAGTCCTATGTTTCCTGTATATATCCTCATTCCACATTTCAGACTTTGCTGAAGTTGTTTGTCTCACTTGTTGGTGAATTTTCACACAGGTATTTGTCACAGTAAAGCTTCATGGAAAGGTCAGGACTCAGCCCTTGGCCTGGTTCCCACACACCAGCCAGCACCTTCCATGATTCCAGTTCACATCTGGATAGAATTTTATTACTTTTTCGTGTGGCCATTTGGGGATCACTGTCAAATGAAATCATATATATAAACTTATGAGGTCTATTCTTCATCCTGGTCCTTTTTTTTAGACATCCAATCCTCTTTATGTACTTGTATATACCATTTGAAAATAATTGCAGACAGTATAACATTTCAGATCTAAACCCTTTAGTGTGTATCTCCTAATGCTAAGGAGATTTTTTTATAATATATGCCATTATCTACCTAGGAAAATTAATGATTTTCTTATTCCATTTAATAGCCAATCATACTCATCTTCCCTACTTGTCCTAAAATTACTTGAGTGTTTTGCTTTTAGGGTTTCTTCTTTTGCTTTCCCCAACTAAAAAACAAACACACACACACACACACACACATATTTATAGTCCTAGCATTTAATGGTTACATCTCTGATATTTTTTAATCTAGAACTTCCCCACCCAGTTAGTTTGTTTTCATGATACCAGCTTTTTTAAGAGACCAGGCCAATTCTCTTAAACAAAGTCCCATGTTTTTGGTTTGTCTGATTGTATGTGTGTCTCTTTTGTTACTCTATCCTCCGTATTTTTGAATACTGAAAGTTATTTCCAAAGACCTGATTTTAAATGTATTGTATCTTTTTTGTCCAGAACAACTGTGTACATATGATTGCCCCACTATTAGTGTATAAAAGTTTGGTCACTTAATTAAGATGGTAATAGCCAGGTCTCTAAGTGTTAAAAGTATATGTTTTTCTTTAAATAAGTAGAACCAACTTGTGGAATGTTTCTTTTGATTCATATGATTATGCTTTCATGTAATTGTGTTAGTGTCTATTGATGTACCTCACTTGAACTATTCCATTGGAGGTTACAGATTGGTAATTTAAAAATATCTTCATTCCTTTTACATGTATTAACTAACATTCCTTGGCAAAGAAGAGCTTTACCTCATCAGTGGGGGATGCTTTATATCATCTTATAGTTCATATCAGTACAACATGTTTACCAGCATCAACACTGTAAAATATCAGCCTTAGATTATGGGGCTGAGTTGTCGATCAGTCATAACTAATATTTATATATACACTTTAAAAAATATTTTGATGTACATGAAAGTTGAAAGTAGAGAAAAGATGAAATTTAAAACAGTGTTTCAAAATGGTGAGCAAATATTGTAAGAGGCTTAGTGAAGGGGATCTCACCAAGTCTCCACCAACATCAGCAAATATTTATTGATCTAAAATGAAATTATTAATGCCAGGAACTGAAAGAACTTACTGCATCCCTAAAAGCTAATGATAAGCATAGTCAGTGTGGATAAGTATTTAGGCCTGATGAGGAGTAAATTAATACAAGTATTTTGGACTATCGCCTTGTGCTCCAGCTTTTGTAGTTTCTCAATACCACATTCCAACGTGCAAGGCCCTTTATAACTCGGGCTCAGTTTCTTGTCTGGCCCACCCTCGCCATTATTTGACCAGGTATTTGGGTTATTTCTACCATCCTTCAGCTGCACATGTTCATTCCTGTCTCCACGCTGTGGTCCATGCTCTTTCCTTGCCAAAAACATTCTTTTCTTACCTCTTCTCAGGTCCCAGTCTGCCCATTTTCAAGCCCCGCTCAAGTCCTGCACCCTCTTTGAAGCTCCTTTCTTGCTTCCTTCTCTAGATAGCATTTCTTACCTCTGTCACATCTGGGGTGCTTGACTCATTTTCCTCTTTGGTCTTCTAATTGGCTTCCGTAAGTAAACCTCATATCCAAACTGTGGAAGATCTTTAAGGACATGACTTTCTATGACCAAAACTGAAAAAAGCTCTTTTTCACATGAGTTGGCTGGGTTTTTGCATTCCCATTGAGAAGCTCTCTGAAAGTTACCAACAGACGTGAAACAATTATCAAATAGGGCTATCTCCTTTTATAGCTTTTTTTGCCTTCAAATATTATCATGCTACAAAAAACAGGTTTTTGTGTGGAAGGTAGGGCTGGAATTGAGGATAGCTCACCACCTGTTCTTTGGAACTAATGTGGAAGGCCTAGTTACTGCACCACGATACAAAGAAAGGGAAAAAAAAATCTTGCATTTAAGTTATTACAATGAAAATAAAGCTTATTATATTGTTCCTTAGGTTGAACCTTTTTATTCCTTTTGTTACCGATTTGAACACTGTTTTAAATGGAAATAAAACAATGGTATTTTGTGCTTCTTAAAGATGTTTAGGAAAATTTTCATCCCACTCAATAAGGCATTGTTTGAAATACCTATTCTTTCTGTGTCCTTAATAAGAGCACTTTATATTTATGCAGCTCTTTTCACCTGAGGATGTGGCTGACATTTTTTGTTACCAGATGGTGACAAAACCATCACCACTGTGTTTTCTGTCTGTGCAGAAGCAGGGGGTAAAAAGCTCCGGAGCACCGTCCAGCGAAGCACAGAAACAGGACTGGCTGTGGAAATGCGGCACTGGATGACCCGGCAGGCAAGCCGAGAATCCACAGATGGCAGCATGAATAGCTACAGCTCAGAAGGAAAGTGAGTGAGGCCGCCTGTGCTGTGTGTCTCTTCCAGGCCTTGCCAGAGACCACCTTTTCATTCTCACTCTCTGCCACCAGAAATGGGATGTATCTGGCTTTTTATACCAAGGGAAATAGGTTTGGGGATGAAGTATTTTGCTTTAATGGCAAGATGCTAAAATGTGACTGTCAATACAGGCAAATAAAACTTTGTGATAGTGTGAAGTAATATAGAAAAGCATAGAAATAACAAACACTTGTCCCAGACCACATGAACAGTGGTAATTTTTAAAATCATTGCTCTAAGAGTTATTACTAAAAAATATAGAATACTGATACATACTTAGTTCTGTGCAGTAACAAACAGTTCAGATAAATGTAATAGCCAAAAAGAAATGCCACAGAATAAGTTGGTAAGCTTTTCCTTTATGTAGTTGTTATGTAGCTTTCTCTTGAACCACCTGTATCTGAGGTATTTTTAAATGGTGAAGATTGTGTAGCCCTGTCACCAACAAATTAACAAAAATGAGCAACTACAGATTGGTAGATGGGTGCATAAAGGACATTAATAGAGGAAAGTGAGCTTTACTGACCTCACTCTGTCATCACCATGGAAGTATCAGATGTTTGGACAACATATATATAGCCATTCACAGGTGTGAGACCATAGGAGCTGGGCAGAGTACTGCTGATATGCTCTGAAGATCATTTTTCTAGCACCGTCAAATAAATACAAGAGATGTATCTGGTTTCCACACATTTATAAATAAGGCTTTGTGGTATACTTATGGAAACATTAAAATGTTTGGATTAACTGCATATTTGGGAATTAAGGTTTGGGGGAAGAAAGGTTTTTGATGTTAATCAAGGAAGTCCTAAAAGAGATGAAGAATCAAGTGAAAAATAAATGTGCACCGAGCACTGTTGTTGTGAAGTGCAGTGTTAGGTGCTGTTAGGGGTATAGATATGTGTGAACTATGACCCGCACTCCAGATGTTTATAGTCTTATTGGAGAAATGGGATGAATACTCAGGAATTCATTCAATAAATATTCCCATACCTTCTAGGCACTGAGCTATGAGTCAGGGGTATAAATCAAAGACAGAATCAGTTGACAGTTAAGACTGTGGGCTTTAGAATCATACAGGCTTCCAATCTCATCTGTTGTTCAGTTCTGTGGAAACATGAGCAAGTACTTAATTTTTCTGAGCTTTATTTTAATTAATTGATGGAGCTTAACAAGTATTCATTGCTTAACAGTATTCCAGGCATGATTCTAGGTGCTGGAGATTTATCAGAGAACAAAACAGAGAAAAAACAAAAACCTAGCCTCAGCAAACTTACAGTTTAATTGATCAGATAAACAATAAACAAGAAAAGTTGTCAAAATGTATGTATAAGAAAAATAGTAAAAGACATAGTTGATTAGTTGGTGTAAGTGCTAAGGAGAAAATTAAGTAAGAGAGATGACAGAGGGTAAGAGGATAAGGGTAGGGTTTTATGTAGGATAAGATAGGGAGAAGGACATATTTTAGTAAAGATCTGAAGTTAGGGAGCATATAGGTATTTGAGGGAAGAATATTCCAGGCTGAAGCAATGCTGGTCAGTAGTGAGAAGAGCAAGCAGTACTGTGGAGTAAGGACACACATAGGAACAAACTGGAAATGAATTAGGAGCGGAGGTGGACAGCTTCTGTTGTGCTTATACAGCATTGTAAGGACTTTGCTTTTACTCTGTCACAGATGAGAAACGAATGGAGGATTTTAAACAGAGGGCTGACATCATCTGTATTCAGCTTTAACAGACCACGCCAAGTGCTGTGGGTGTGGGGGGTAAAGGTGGTGGCAGGGAGACCATTCACAATTTCTCAGGGAATACAGAAGACAGATGATGGTTTGGGCCAGAATGGCAGCATTAGTGAGGTCGGATTCTGGTTGTAAAGCCAGTAGCATTTATGGAAGCATTTGAGGTAATGAGAGAAAGAGAGTGATTGGTCTGCCTAGGCTGCCATAACCAAATACCACAAACTGGGTGCCTTAACAACAGAAATTAATTTTCTTAGAGTTCTGGAGGCTGAAAGTTCAAGATCAGGGTATCAGCTGGTTTGGTTTCTCCTGAAGCCTCAGTCCTGGCTTGCAGATGGCCGCCTTTTCACTCTGAGTATTTCCTCTGATCTTCTCATGAGTCTCTTTACATGGCCTTTCCTTCATGCATGCACAGCCCTGGTGTCTCTTCCTGTTCTTAGAAGGACACCAGTCATATTAGATTAGGGTCCCACCCTTAAGACCTCATTTAACCTTAATTATTTCTTTAAGGCCCTGTCTCCAAATACAGTCATACAGAGGGTTAAGGCTTCCACATATGAACTGGGGAACAGGGGGAACATAATTCAGTCCATAACAGAGGAAAGAAAACTCCAAGGTTGAGCAGTTGAAAGAATAAAGTTGCGATTCTTCTGAAGGTGGGAATCCACAGAGCAGAACAGAGTTTTATTTTTTTGTTTGTTTAGGGGTTGGAAGTCAGTTTGGGACAAGTTGAGTTTCAATTTCCTACTAGACTTCCAAGCAGATATGTAAACAAAGCAGTTGGAAGACAGGTCTGTGGCCCAGCAGAGAGGTGCAAGCTGGAGATGTCAATCTAGACTATATCAACATAGACGGCATTTAAAGCCATGAGACTGGGTGGGATTACCGGGGGAGTTAGGACATAGAGAAAAGAAAGGAAGTCAACAAATCAAGCTTCCAGTATTTAAGGGTAGAACAAGTGAAGGAGGCTAAGGTAATGACTACAGGGGAAAACCAGGAGACTAGAACATCCCAGAAGCAAAGCAGAGAAAGTGTTTGAAGAAAGAAGGAGGAATCCATTGTGTCAAATGATGCTAAAGCTAAATTAGACAAGTATGAGTGTTAACAGGTAGGTCACCCCTGTGGCTATTAGGTAACCTTGATCAGAGAAATTTTGGTATAGAGGAGAAAAATAAAGCAAGGAAAAACTGATCAGAGTTTCAAGAGCGGATGAGAGGGAAAAAAATTAAACCTAGCACATGGACACAACTCTTTCAAGGGGTTTCAGGAGAGATGGGGTGGTCGCTGGAAAGGGAAGTGAGGTTAGGAGAGGGACTCTTTTTTTAAGGTGGAAGAAATAGCAGTATGTTTGTGTGATGGTGGAAATGATCCAGAAGAATTTCCTTATCTATAGAATAAGTTAAATAAGAGAATCTATCTCATAGTGCAGCTAAGTGGATTAAGTATGATAATTCCTGGAATTAAGTCTCAGTAAGTAGAAATCACAGTCCATGCCCTCCAGACAAAGAAGAGAGAGACACATAACCAGAAGCCTGCAATACAGTGTGAAAGTGTTCTTGGCAATGTACATGGGCTGCTAGAAGATAAGGAGGGATGGGCATCGGAGGTGGAGTAGGGTGTTCGGGTCCAATTTATAGAAGTGACAAGATAGTGGTACCAACTGCTTCTGCCACAGGAAGGGGGAGAGAGGGAAACCTGAGCTGCTAAAAGTAAATAGGAGTTGAGGATTTAATCCCATGTGTTATTTTACTTTTAGTCTAATTTTCCCTGGTGTCCGCTTGGCCTCTGATAGCCAGTTCAGCGATTTTCTGGATGGCCTTGGCCCCGCCCAGCTAGTGGGGCGCCAGACTCTGGCTACACCTGCAATGGGTAAGAATTTCTGTCATGTGATTTCCTTGTTTTTCTTCTAGATCACTGAAAATTACACTGTAATTTTATAGGATCCTTAACAGTATTATCAGCTTAGACTTCAACCAAAAAAAATCTTCAATTAATTTTCTTCCATTTTAATTTATATGCTTTTTAAAGTAAGATATCATTGATAAAATTTTAAATGTCTTTGAATTTAGGAAAATATATGGGAAATGATGAAATTCAGACCATTGTGTTAAACCAAGGTCTTCAGCATAAGCATTTTTCTCAGTGCACTTGTATATTAAGTCCTGTTTGTTTCTTCCTCACATTAGGTGACATTCAGGTAGGAATGATGGACAAAAAGGGACAGTTGGAGGTGGAAATCATCCGGGCCCGTGGCCTTGTTGTAAAACCAGGTTCCAAGACACTGCCAGGTAAAAACATGAAATTCTTCTCTTATTCTTCATAATCCACACTTTTCAATTCAGAGACTTTGTTTTTGACTAGAGTTGAAAACGTAATTTTTAGATAATCAGGGATATTAATAAATACGTCACTTATCTGTAGTGGTTTGTTTGCTTTTCCAGAGTGAGCATCCAGTTGGGGGGATAATACAAGGTGTTAGGTAATATGTAGTGGAAACCACTGCAAAATAAAAACTAGTACAGTTAAATCATTCATTTTGTACAGCATGTACATGAGAAGTTCTTTTTCTGTTAAGCTGGTATTTTGTGTTATTCTTCAGTTTATCTGGAGCTTTAAAATTCTCCTTGAGAATCCTTAGAGTTCTGGAATTAGCATAAAAATAGATGCAGGCCCCCAAAGTAACACAAGCCTATGTATGAAGTACATTCGAATTAGAAGACTTCTACTTCCTATAGTGCATCAAGAGAGGCAACACTGTAAGTTTTTATCACATATTTTGTACTGAAATGCCATAGTCTAAGCTGTGTGGATTCACAGAAAATGCCACAGCCTCTAGCTACATTGTACAAAGATGTATAGAACGTTGGGTCTGATGTATAGAACAGTTACAGAGGATTCCGAAACTTGATTTCTCACCACAGTGCCCCCAGTGACTGAACTGTAATTTTGAATCTCTTAACTTGCCTATCTTTGCAGAAATTCTAAATTACAATATGTATCACCCATTGTACAACCTTGCAGTGGTAATTCAGACCTTTGTGTTTATAATGGTCTTGGAGCTAATCAACCCACTCTGCTATAAAGCGGTCATAAATTGTACATGCATAAAAATGCTTCTATGAAGAGTCTGTCAGATAAATTTCAAGCTATGGAATTCTAATTAATTGCCTCTTCTCAGCTAATTTGAACATCGTATACATCAAGCACTACCTATGATTTGTACCCATACCACCATCAATAAATAAACTCTTTTGAATAATAAAAAAATCACTTGTGGGGATGGGTGAATAAGACAATATAATTAGATCTAAGTGTTGATAAATGAAAGATGAAGACATCACTCTTGAATATTGTTCAGGACTGGAAGCATTTCACCTTATTAATGCAATGTTCAAATCTGTGTAACAAGTTGATCACAAAACAGTAATCAACTCAGAGGCTGTGTCAACATTGCCTAAAACTATGTGAATGGCTAATAGTCACCTATTGCGTATCTAATTATTTTGACCTAATGTAGAAAAGCCAGTCACTTGATTGCTAGCTCCTTCCGCCTACGATCAGGCTGCTGCTGCTGTCACCTGGGGTTGGGTGCTCCATCGCCACTACTCCTCACTTCTCTCTCTTCTGCTTTCTGTCCCAAGCACCGTATGTAAAGGTGTATCTATTAGATAATGGAGTCTGCATAGCCAAAAAGAAAACAAAAGTGGCAAGAAAAACGCTGGAACCCCTTTACCAGCAGCTATTATCTTTCGAAGAAAGTCCCCAAGGAAAAGTTTTACAGGTATTTACCAAATTGTTTCTCTCTTACCTGTGACTCTCTTGGAGTCAAAGCTTGTACCCACCATCTTTGTTATCACATTCTTTTCTGTTCTTAACTGCTGAAATTATCATGAAACTTCAATGCTGTAGACACTGTAGTTTCCTTTAAAGTGAACTTGCAAACGCCATCACACATAAACCCCAGGCTCCCTGGACTGCTTATCATCCTAACACTCCAGTACAGTTTTTCTAGTGTGCTTGTGGATTCTAGTAGGTAAGCACAACTATCCCAGTAATTAAATACAACTATTTAACTTAATGTTTAATATTAGTCTACACATTAACTGAATGTATTTTAGTTTACAAATTTTCATGTACGTAATTATGCTGACATTCATCACCTTTCTATTTTACCAACAGATCATCGTCTGGGGAGATTATGGCCGCATGGATCACAAATCCTTCATGGGGGTGGCCCAGATACTTTTAGATGAACTGGAGCTATCCAATATGGTGATCGGGTGGTTCAAACTTTTCCCCCCTTCCTCCCTAGTAGATCCAACCTTGGCCCCTCTGACAAGAAGAGCTTCCCAGTCATCTCTTGAAAGTTCAACTGGACCTTCCTACTCTCGTTCATAGCAGCTGTAAAACTGTTATCATAGGAACCAGCGTTACAAAAAAAAAAAATCACAGGTCGCAAACCCTGGTAACACTGCATGCTTAATGTTGTGTCTTCTGAGCCTGTTTCTAGGGATACAAGCGATCCTGTGTTCTCAGAGGAAGTTGCACACATTGTGCCCTAAAGAAGGCCCTCAGGTGAAAGAGCAGAGCTGTGAAGAACTATCAGGTTTGGAGTTCAGTAACACTCAAGTTTTGGTCCAATCTGGAGCCATGGATTAATTGCAAAGCATCAGTCAGTTTCATGCAACAAAAGCCCTTTTCAATGGCACCTTTATATTTTTATCATTCCTTTTTCTTCCTTTCTCTGAACCCAAAGCCCTGTTAGGCCACAGAAATTGAGCTGTACAGCCATTAAACCATGTTATGAATCAAAGAATGAAGTGCTAGGAAGCATCAGGTGAAAAGCAAGAGACCAAAGAAGTGGGCCAGGACAAGACATCAGCCCTCCTTTGGAGGGGGACCAGGAGCCGCCAGTCCAACGGGAACAGTGGCAGACTTCAGAGCTTCAGCAGGCACACCGTTCACAAAGGCCAAGATGTGCTGGACTCTGAAACACGAAATTCTGTGGCTACACTGTACTGAATGAAATTAAAGAAACCTTTTTTGCATGGACACAGATTAAGCTGAATACTTAAATTATTTTCTTGGGGCTGCAACTTGCAAAAAATAAAAATAAAAATCAGCCGTTTTCAACAATTTATATTATTTTTAAAAATAAATTTCACTAGTGCATGGTTTTAAAAGGGGGAGAGAATGCAACAGGGTGGTACAAAGACACACCATGTTTATTCTTTAAACTAATCATAGTCTGTGTTTTGGCAGACATTACAAATAAAATACTTTCTAGAAGATACTTACAATTCTCTTTCCGACAAATATGCATAGTATATTGAAAATTTATTTCCAAATTAAATATACAAATCTTACAAAGTTCACTATGTGCATATTGTTCACATCTTTTCCTCCTTGTCTCTATCTCACTTTTCCTCTTTTCCCTCTTTTAATCTTTCATTTTCTTTCTCTCTACCAGAGTGAACATTATACTAAAAAAGTTACAAGTTTTGACCTGATACTCTCTTACATCCCAGGTTTGATTCAGAGCTATAGATGCTTCTGAATTTATTAATTTCTCAAGGGAAAAATAAACTAAGAGCTTTCTTTATTTCAAGCATGTTGAAAAGGATTTTGCAACATGACTTGGGAGTACATTAAAGTAAATCAGCATGTATTTGATAAAGAAGATATTTGAACTTTTGCAATTTATTGTACAGTGCATGGTAATTTTATTTTCACCTTCAAAGTTCAGTTTACAGGAAAATCCTAAAATCATGTGGCCATTGTAATGTCTAATAAATTTGTTTTTAGCACCAGCATTATTCATACAGGGGTTAGAGTATTATTTCTAGGAGGTCTTAGGTTTTGTTTTTTAATTAATCAAAGCAATTTCTTTAGCCAATTTCCATTTACTATGTGAATAGAAACACTGCTAAAAATCTGGAGTCCTGAAACACAGGGCTGTTTATTAATTCATTTTTCTGTGGTAAAGTTCAATTTTTCACAAATTATATTTCTAAAGAAATATAGTAAGCGTGAATTTGCAACAAATAATTTTAAAGCTCCAATTTTTAGGACAGTCAAACAAAGTCCGTCTGCCTATTAATAGTTCTTTGATGCCGTCACCAAAGTCCACACCAACCCCTGAAGTCAACCCTTGCCTTTGGTTTAACAGACAGCTATTACCATTGGGTGCTGCTGCAAGGTCAAATTTCTCTTAAGTTCCCCCATTTAGAGGAAAAGGCACTGGTTAATGGAATAAACCACCCATACTTTGTTTCTTTATGCACACTTGGATAACACGTCCCTACTGGTTGGTATTAATTTCTTAGAATAATTTTTGAAATCCACATACATGCCATTGGCTTCAGGCCATGCACAAAAACTGCTTTTTTTTTTCCTTTTTTTAAATTAAGTACTGACTATTAAAAACTGTCATGCTTGGTATGGTACAAAAGTTAAAATAAGTTGTCACTAAAAATACCTTCTCTTTATGTGGTGCAATATGAAATACACTGAGACTGTGTCTTGACTTTCTGAGATCTACGATGAACCCAGGTCAAGTTGTTAAAAGAATGAATAAAACCTTATGGAAATAATTTAGTCACTTGTGTACCAGCAACAATTGATTTAATAGACCTATAGTGTCTATACTTTCCCTTAGAATAAACATTTACCATTTTCCTGATACTAAGAGGCAGTCACATCATCTTTTGTGCATATTCCTATATAAATTATTTCTAATTTTAATAAGAAGGACATGGCCGTATGGAATATTTGTACATACTTGTCATTATGCAGTATTTATTTAAAAGTTGGTGTATTTTTTTTTAATTTTCACATGTCTGCACCTCGACTTGTGGTTTAGTCATGTAAATAGCACTATTCCAGTGACCATTGCTGCCCTGTACATAGTGTGTTTCAAAGTCAAGGGAATTCCAGTTGGAAAAAAGAAAAAAAGGGGCAGATCAGTCCTGTAATGAACACCAACGATGTAAATCAAATTCATTCTGGTGATGGTATTTAACACTTTAAATAAAACATTTTCTTTACAGACGTTGTATGCATGACTTTCTCTGGCTTCTCTTCTCACACATCCCTAAGCCTGCTGCAACCCATTCCCTAACCTCACACATCGTTTAAAGACAACGAAAAAACTTCTGCTACCTCTCCAAGGCAGAAACAGACTGCTGGTCTTTGCAGACAGCCCTCCGTAGAGCATTTCTTTAAAATGCTGAAGGATTCCTGCTCATTGGCCTCATTACAAGTTGCTGTTTTTTAAAAAAGGTTGTTATTCTGCATTGAGTGCTTTCTGGTTAAATGACTCGCAGATTTTATGAGCAGGAAGGAGTGAGATTGGTGTGTCAGTGTCACCCCGACTCGTGGCTGAGTCACAGAGAATCACACACGGGCTCTGCCGGTCCCCGGGTGGAGGCGGCAAGGGGGGCGGTTGGCTTTACGCTGCGTGTTTCCACTGACGTGTCATTTCGGCTTTGGAGGGGTGGCGGCTGCATTTTCATTTTGGGAGACATGTGATAACCTGACCTGTAACAAACCTGCCCAGAGACTGGCTTCTGTCGTGGGAGTAGGGGATGCATGGGAGGGTTTCTCCGTGTCGTAGGTCAGTTGCTCTAACGAAGAGCACCCCAGCGGCGCTTTGACTGGAGTCCTCCCCAGCCCTAAATTTAAGAGCTAGTTTGATTAATCAGAAATCCAGTTGAAATCCAAATCTAGTCCTCTCCCCCATTCCTGGAAACAGCCATTTCTTCCATTGCCAAGGACTCAGTTCCAGCCCAGTCCCCCATACCTATCCGGTATTTTTCATTTTTCAGTTCGAGTGAGGTATTTCTTTGCTGTCCATACACTCTTATTATAAAAGTCCCCTTGCCTTTCTCATATGCCCTCTCCGGAAAAGCCCTCTACTTTCCCAGAAATGACCCATGTTAGTCCCGTCCTTCAACTCCGTTTTCGGATGAGTTCTTTAGTTCCTGGCGAAACCCTAACAACGTGGCTGCCACTGATGCCAACAGTTTCGCTGTCCCAGGAACTCCCGATGCCAACGCTCCCAGGCAACAGTGGAGGACACAGTGTCACTCCCATGGGGACTGAGAGAGAATTGTTCAAGAAAGCACCAAAGCCTGTGCAGACTTAACCTTTAATGTTCTGTGCTTGTAAAAATCATGTTCTCTGCTTGTTTGTCCCCACTCACTCAGCTCACGATGCCCTCAACATCCTGCTGGCATTAATGGACTGAACAAACAAAAAAAAGCTCACATGCCTGCCTTTGGTTTATGAAATGTGTATTGAGAAGCAGTATGAAAGAGGAAATTAAAGAAGAACAGTAATACTCGTGCCGTGCACATTGTCCATGTGGCTGGACTCAAGTCTCTTAATTTCTAGCATTTATTCCTTCATCTGGGAAATACGGAGTTTGAGTTACATACTCTTCTACCATCAAAAGCAGCACTTTGATCAACATGTAAGCTCCTTTAAGGCAAGGACCACGTCCACTTTTCTCCTCTGTTCTATCATCAGGGCCAAGAACAATGCTTGACACATAGATGCTCAGTAAATATCTTCCAAATTAATGAATATTTAGTGCCTGCTATTTTGGGACACAGTTCTAGGAATCATAGTGAACCAAACAAGCATGGCCCTCTCCTCACAGGGCTTTCATTCTATTAAAAACACACATTGGGTAAAAAATGACAAGTATGATAACTTTCCAAAAGGGAAACTCCTGTGGTATTATAGAGCACACAGCAAAGTATTTTAACCCAGTTGAGAGAGTCAAGGAAAGCCGGTATCTAAACAAATGTACCAGAGTTAAATGAAAGATGACAGCGGTGGGAGACGGGCATGAGGTGAAGGACATACAAGGCAGGGCAGCAGATAAGAAACTTGAGGGAAGAGAACTATGACTACAACTTTTACTGCCTTATAGAGTGTCTAAAGTATGGGTGAGCACCTAAGTGAATACTGGCGAATGAATAAACAACTGAATACAGATTTCTGCAGCTTGAGCTATTTCTGAGCCTTTGACAGTTTCTCTGAGAAGTTAGTTTTAATTTAAACTTGGTGTAAGGTCTACTTGTAGGTGAGATAATTGATAAGGTCTAATCCTATGTATAATTGTATTTTAAATGATTCTCAGATTGCTGCTTAGTCCTTAACCCCATTCAGTTGTTAGATCTTTGAATATAGGAACCAGGACCTGTAGTTCTTCTGTTCCCAGCATAGCACCTGCTCAGAGCACGTGATAGGTGTCAGACTTAACAACAAATATTCCATCAGTGATTCTCAGAAAGATTACTGTTATTGCCATGGAAGATTCCTGAGTCTAAAGTTTATGCTCATAGTTTGCATGTGGTTGAGTCAGAAAGCCTTTAAACATGTGGTGTTCTTAATGCTTTTTGAGTACCAATTTTCTGTCATTTTGCCGTGGAGTAAGGTGCTTTCCTGATCCATCCATCCTGTTCCCATGAGACCTGCCGTTTTCTAACTAATCCCATTCTCTTGGCCCCACTGACAGTGGTATAGGGGGTATAGACAATCTGTATCCTTAGTTGTGAAGATTCGTCATCTTTAGTTTCATTTTATTTTGCCTTGGTACCAGAGAAACAGTCCATCTCTTGTGACAGAAACTATTAGATGGAAAAAAAAGGTCAGGGCTGCCAGTGGCTATGTTTTCTGATATATATATATGATGGAAATTGAATTACCGGAGGAGAAAGTCAACAAAGCCAAGTGAAGGCAAGGATGGAAGACAGTCCTACAGGCTGCATATTCCTGATCCCATTAGAATCGAGGATCTGCTGCGTCCTGGCTCTTCCAAGGAAGTCCGTCTATTCCAGCTGTAGCTAGTTGGATTCCTGCTACTTGAAGGCAGGAGTCCTAGTTAATACATTGGGCCCAGGAAAAGCCTAATGGAGCTGTGAATCTTGGAGGAGTCACTGAGGTTACCTAGGACACTGTCATAGCATTAAGAGGAGCCCTAAGAAGTAGCCATCAAGCCCTGCTTGGTAAGTGCCTGGAGAAATAAGCTCTGCGAAGCCCCTCATTCCATAGTCTTTACCAGTTCGACTCTTCTTCCTAACACATGGCCCTATACTTATTGCCTACTATATATACTTATGTTAGCAAATGACTCCGTATCAGATGGGGGACTTTGCCCCACCCAAGGAGAGTACTATGCTGTGGCCTCTACTTCTATAAACACAACCTGTCATTCACTCTGTGGCCACCTTGCATAGTTCCTTAGGATGGGACTGGAGGTTGACCATTTCTCCCAGACCCTCCTTCATGTGAATGGCTTCTCTTTGTCCTTATGAATTTTGGTTTGGGCCAAGCACAGATGTAAAAGTTCATTCTTGGGAAATATTTTTCTCATTGGTTCTATCAAGTAGTCCAGGTTGCCAAAATCATTATAACCATCTTACCTCTAGCATAAACTGAGTCGTCAAGACTGTCAAATGTACTCGCTTTCATTGCCAGTTCTGGTCACCTGCAAATCTGATAAGATTGTTTCCTCTATCTTCATCCATGTCTTTGGTAAAATGTCGACTAAAATAGGGTCAAGATCAAAGCTTCATAATTCTCTACTGACAATATTAGTTTCAATCATAGTTATTTTAGTTGTTGTCATGTAATACCTTATAGTTTACAAAATGACTTTAATATACATGATCTAAGTTAATCCTATGACTACCTTATGAGGTGAGTAGTCGTACTATCTTTATTTTGCAGATAAGGAAACTGTAGTTCAGAGAGTTTAGAAAATGGGAAGAAGGTCCCCCATCTGATAGTGGCATGTTCAGATGCAAACCCAGGTCCTCGGGCAATAAATCGGCCTGTTCAATCAACTGTAGAACCATTTTCCCCTACCATCAGCCACTGGACATTTCCTGGCTTTATCCTCACGGCATTTATCAGGCCCTTTCTCAGATGACCTGCTGGAATACAGACCTACTGCCTTTATTACATTTCCCTCCTTCTGCCATCTATGTGCTAACAAAGCATGGTGGCCCCAAAAGAACTAAAAGGGCCATTTTTATTACCTTAAGCATTTTTCTAGCCTCATTGTGTCCTACCCTTCAGCCTCCAGCCACTCCTATAGGCACAGGCCCTGAGTCCTTGTTTTCTCATCAGAGCTCATCAGTGGAGCCTCTCCAGAATTAGACTATTTTTATTCATATACTTGTTTTATATATTTCTGTTTTGCCTGCCTTTCCCTTTTTTTCTTGTTGGAATATTAGAATTTTTTATTCCTAGATATTCCCATGCCTCTTTGGCCATTACCAATCTTGCTGGGGAATCATCCTAAATCCTCGGAATTGTTTAATACATCAGTTTAAAAACTCTAGGCCACATGTATTAAAATGTCTGATAATGCCCAGTGTCTTCCTTCCTCACTGTCATGACTATAAAAGAAATGGTGACTTACGAGAGTGTAAATGAGTAACTTCTGTATCACAGACCAGTTTGGGTGGCAGCTTATTTGTTTAGTTTGCTTTGGGTTTTGCTTTTAGAATCATACTCTGCTGGCTGATATACTCTATTGCCACTTAGTGTTCAGCCTTGACAATGTAATTTATATTCTCTGAGTCTCACTACACACAGCTCCAAATGGGAATAGTAAAACCACCCAGGTCACTGGGTTGTCTTGGGGATTAAATGAGGTAATGCATTTAGAACACATAGCCCTGTGAGTGATATAAAATAAACGCTAGTAAATGCCAACTGCTACAAGCTTAAGTAATTGATTAGAATGTCCTAAAGACCATTTCGTTTTTTGCTGGTTTTGTCTCATCAAAGGCTACAAGTCCTCCTAAGGAAACACATAGTTCCCTGGAACATTCAGGGCCAAGCTGGGTTGTCAGCTGCTGGGTTTGGAGGTAGTTCTGCCGAGCTCCCTAAAGCAAGTCTTGTTGAATCTTCCCTGAGTGGATTCAGCAATCCACTGTCTACATAAAATACAGACCCCAGTGAGGAATTGCAAGCACCTCGGGGCCTTCTCAGAGGGAGCAGCTGGACAGACAGCATCCTACAGTCATCCAA